TTTTGTCATCCTACCAGATTCTGTCCCTAAAAGTTTCTTCTTAAACAATTAGTCACTCTATACGGGTTAATTTTAGTGTATATTCAGCATTTACTGGTTTCTGTAGTTGCTCTACAACATATGGGAACTCCCATTACTAATGTTTGCACTTAACCAATACATTAAGAAAATAGTAACAGATAATTAAAGAAACCCAAATTTCAGTTTTGGCTACTGAAATATATGAATTTGAAACACAGCATAATATATATATATAAAATATTTTCATAAGGAAATTCTTGTGTTTTATTAAACGTTCAGCTTATACACCATACAATACCTATTGTAAATGTATTCTTGTATGTTCCAGCTGTACTATAGTGACATTCTGAAGATAAAGGTACAGTATGTCCATAATATGTTACTTTTACAAATAAAATGTTTCCTGATTGAAAACATAAAACTGCCAAATTGACTAATACTACTTCACTATGAGCCATTAGAAATTTCAGTAATGATAAAAGTTAAGCTTTAAGAGCACTTCAATCATTATCATCTTTAACATGATTAGCAGATGCCTGTACAGGCAGAATCTGCAAATATTTGGCAAAAATCTGAAAAATATATTTTAATCAGATAAAACAATTTTGCATTGTGCTAACCACAATCAATTATTATTCCAGATGTTTTACTATTTTCATTATTTCTTCTGGAGATCTTATTACAAAGCCATAATATGCATAAATATTTAAAAACCTTCATACGGAAGGAAAACATTTTCTGAAAAAAAACCAGCAGTTACATTTAAAGTAAATATTTACAGGACTCATTTTGAACCTCAAAAATAAAATTTTGATTTATTCATTTTTCTCTAGGCTGAGTTACAACACCAATCAAGAAAACTGCCACTTTGTACTGTACATCTGGCACATGGTTCCTTACTGGTAACCACTGTAAGGCACTGCTCGGAAGATTAATCAGCTTCTGTGTCTGTTGTGTCATTTTGTCAGCTCCCAAAGTGCAACTACAGCAGATCGAATTCTGTCTGACTAGATTCAAGTCTTGTGACCTGGTAGTTTCCTGTCAGAATGTTTTATAACCAGCTTCAAATGTTTAACCACATAAAAGTGTTTGTGTTAAACTACATTTTTCACTTGTTAGTCTCAAACCAGCCCATTGTATTTCATTAAATAGGAATTTACAACTAGTTGTCTTTGTATACCTCCAGTATGAAATCAGCAGTTGTCAATCAGTCAGCCTAACATACTGCTTTGACCTTCATACAGACACAAAACAAACAATCCATGAGTTGCTTACATTTGTAGGATCTGTAATGTTTATCTTCATCAAGTAAATATATATTATATGCTGCATTGCATGTAGTACCCACAGCCAAAAAAATCGATATTATTGCAATTATTTTTTCTAGCCAGTCCTGCTGAAATGTACTAATCTTGAAAAGCTATCTTGTCTTACCATTAACTACATAAATATTCATATAGCCAGATTTATACACTAGGGGGTCCATATTAATATATAATGTATAGTATCTACAGAAGATTTATCACCATTATAATGACTGATACAGATTTTGCTAACAAAACTGAATATTCGTAAGCTACTGAGGTCAATGATGCATCACAAGCCGAGAATACCACAGCCAGCTTAAGCCTAATTTACTGTATACAACTTCGCTAGCACTCAGGAAGTTATGTGTAGCTATTTGAAACAACACTGAGGGTTGTAGGAGTGTCAAATAAATATTATATCCCTTAGAAGGGAAACTGTAACGAAGTGTTCTTTCAGGACCCTATGCAGATGACACAATCCGGGGAAGAATGAGGAAAACACGGGGGAAAAAGCAGGCAGGAGTCGGGAATGAAAACAGGGGGCATGTCCAAGGTGCACAGGTGTTCTGGGGGGTGAATCCAAGAAAAACAGTCCAAAAGGGAGTCCAAAGGGAAATCCAAGCAAGGCAAATGTCCAAACGGATTTAAAACTGGAGCGGGATCCGGTGGAGGGTCGGGGGGAAAAAGGGGGGAACGGGACCAGGCACACCAGGTCCCGGACTCGCCTGGTACAGGAACCAATGCAGTGCCCAGAACAGAGTGAGTGTCTGGCTTTTAAGGTGGGCTGGATAGGTGGCTGGAACAGGGAGCGGGTGCCCAAAATCATCTCAGAAGTGACAGAGCCGGAGTGCCCTTAAGGGGGGGGGGACTACAATTGTGACTGAAACCTGTGCTAAGAACACAGTAGAATGTCCCTTGAGCAGACAGAGATGATAAATGTCACTGCCCTCCACAAAGACTGGGGAAGAGGATGAAAAAAACTGCCAGCCCAGGAGGGGTATGATGAAAGTGTCAGGATTCTAAAGATCAAGCAGCTGCCAGCAGCGAAAAGAGAATACCAGACAGATGTAGAATGTAGAAAGAAGATGGGAAGATGGGTAGGCAGGAAAGAGATGTACTGTGTAAGTCCCTATGAATGAAAGAAAGGCGATCGCAGGTGTGCACTCCAGTGGACAGGAACTGTGAGGCAGATAAATCCCAGACTTCCGACAAATTTAAAAAAAATCCCTATCTTAGTACAAACTCAAGTCCTCAGAGAGGAGATGATAAATCCAGCCCTGGAGAGGGGTTGTCAGGGCTCTCATTTCTAAGCAGAGAAGAAAAGAGAAGGGTGTCCACTGACAGAGGGAACAGGAAATTGCCTGGATACACAGAAATTCCACATGTGCGAAAGTGGTGGGTAGCAGGAAAGCCCCATACGGGAGTTGCAGTATTGGAGGTTTGGTGAAAAAGTATCGGGCAGTGTGGTGGATCTGTGGCTAAAGATCTGTGCCTTTGGCTGGAAGGTTGCCGGTTCATATCCCATGGCTGGCAGAGGAATCCTACTCCATTAGGCCCCTGAGCAAGGCCCTTAACCCCAACTGCTCCAGGGGCACTGTATAAATGGCTGACCCTGTGCTCTGACCCCTAACTTCTCTCCCTGTCTGTGTGTCTCATAGAAAGCAACTTGGGGTATGCTAAAAGACAAATTCCTAATACTAGAAATTATATATGGCCAATAAAGTGATCTGATCTTATCTTAAAAGAAATGGAGCCTTAGGTATATGGCATGACTACTTGGTATAAATATTGTATTTCCTCCTTTTCTCAGGAAGCTGTTTGATCTCAATGCAGATACTGTAGATACTGTAACTTGAACTGCTAGGAGTCTTTTTTTTTGCCTATTTAGTGCTTGATGTCTTTACAGAGCTCAGGATTTCAGCAACGTGTGTTCTTCATTGATGGGGCTACCACATCAATTAAGGCCACATTCTTGCTTAAAATTCCTGCTTCTCAGGAAGATGTTGTTGCCCCCTCATGATCCCTACCAGACCTTAATGGAACCAACTTTCCACATACAGTATGCTACTGCATAATAAAAATATTCCTTCTCCTCTGACTTTCACAGTCTTCTGTCATTGGTCATGGGATGCTACTACAGTGTTTTCCTTTTGCTAGAGAGTAAGGAGCACTGAAAAGAATGGCTGGCTTGGGGAAAAGGAGTCGTTTCATGTTTCACAGACACCAGACAGTGCGACCTCAACACAAGAAAAACAATGAAGTGCCGCAATGTGACACACTTGTGCATTCTGGACCTAGCTCAGACAGTCTTGAGAGTACTTCAAAGCAAGCATGTGGTATTCGTACGTTATTTAGTAACAGGAAAATAGTAGTCAGAAACAAGAACACATCATACTAACTGAACACAAACAATAAATCAGCTTTAAAAATAGCTCAAATAAATGTGAAAAAAGTGTGTATTCTGTACTGGTACAGAAAGTAAAAAGTTTTCTAACTCTGCTATATACTGAAGGCACAACCACCATTAAAATGAAAACACTTCAGAATATTGTGTTAACTATATGCCTTTTAAAGAAATACCATCAGATGTTACCCAAAAGCACCTGCAACAATGGGGTATAATATTTTTGATAGGAGCATATGCAACATAAATAATGTTTTATGAATTTGCAGTGCTCTGCAGTGATTCTAGAACATTGTTATAGAATCATTTTATGAATGGCTTGATGACAAAGCAGCAGATTATCTATAAGATTTACAAGTAAATTTTTAACTAGAATTGTATTGGTTAAGCCCACAGTCCACTCTTAAAGGTGGTGTACTTACCCTTACCATATCTCACATTTAAATATTCTCTGAATATTAGTGGATTAAGGACTGAGAAAGAGAACTGATTTCTTTTCTGACAATCATAATGGCTCGTGCCTGTGCATAGGAACCCAGTGTTTACATATCTGATGTTGTCACAACCGAAATTTTACCTGGTATACTGTACATTTATCAAGCCTTGTTCAATGGTTCAGAACACACAGAACTATTCTGAGCACTGAAGGTCACTGAACAGAGTAAAAAGCTTAGCTTTACACAGAACATAGAAGATATGCACACCCCATTTCACTTTTGACAGCACTGTTTTCCCTCAGTTTAAATCAGGCTCACTACTGACTTCTTATCACACTGACTTAGTGGTCACATTTGTAACCATCAAAAAGTGCTACTGTGCCAGGTTAAATAATGAGGTTTGAACAAAGCAGTAAGTCTAAAGTTAGAATACATTTGAAATAAGGCAGTATCTCTTAGGAATGCTACTTTCTTTATTGCAGGTACATAGATAAGTTTGTTTTAAACATAAATTACAGAAAAAAACACCTACTAATAGTTTAAAATGGTATGTTCACACATAGTGTGACATAGTTGAGCTCAAAGAGGAGCTCTCCATAAATCAAATTTGTGATTCCAATGATTCCAATGAATGGGAATGAGAAATAAATCTCGCAGGTTTCAGACAATATATGCTGAGCCACTATTATGAACCCATGGTGCTCTTGGGCTGGCCTCCTTCTAGAAAGACTTAGATAGAAAACTGAAGGTGTTAAGAAGCAAAAGTTCGTATAAAGGTCATAGTCCTCAAAACTGTATGAACAGACTCAAAACAGTAAAACAGTTCCTTACCTGCTGCTGACTCTGCTCCTCCAAGTTTAGCTTAACCTCCAGGGACTGTCGCGCCTCCAGGAAAGCCTTGCGATGCTTTCGGTCTGCCATATAATAGGACATGATCCCCACCGTGATGGCACACAGGTAGATGGCAATGTTTGCCAACAACTGGGACATAAACAAAAACAGGTATCACAACTGCAATGTCCATAGCAAAACTGCTCTCATACAACATACTGTACAACTACATAGACTTTGGATTTGACTTTTTCTTCATTATTTTCTTTAATGCATCATGTCAAGCCACAAAGACTGGCAATTTTCTGTCCTCAACATATATCTTTCCAAGCAGTTATTGCTTAAACAGAAATAAAAATATCCACTCTTGTAAACTTAGGCATTACCGTTTTTATAAGCTACAGTGTTTCTACATATTGGTAGGTAACCAAACAATATTCCTACCTTACAGTACAACTAACAAAATAGTTAATAATAACCTTCAAGAAGAAATGCACAAGGAGGGTACATGATGCTGAATAGTTCTTACATCATTCATGTTTGAAATCAGAGCTGGACAAAAAAAGCTTTCACCACACATTCATAGTATGGCACTGTTTTTTTGTTTATGTCTATTCAGCCACCACTTAAGAGCAAATGTGTGTTGAACTCTTACTCCCTCTTTTTTCAAGCTCAATGCCTAGCCTTTCACTGATCTTGTGGGGGTTCCTGCAATATCATCAATTGCACAACTTGTTGTTCTCCTTTATCACTTCAGTAGGATTTAGGGCAACTGCTGGACAAACGTTGGACAAACAAAGACTTCACTCACAACTTGTTTTCCTGTGGGTAATGTATCACACTACAATATTGACTGAGATTCTGTGGTGGTTTGCAGTGCATGCAAACAATAAATTAGAAGACGATTAAGCCATTATACTTTCAAAGACTTAGTGTTAACTTGTGCTATCACTATGTCAACTGTGTGTTAAGGCATGTAGTGGAATTTAGTGTTACCAAACACCAAATGTATGGTAATGTTCTAAGGACACAAAGCAACATGAAGTATATAATTTTTGTATTTGTACAAAGATAATGAAACTTTATTCATCAAACCAAAGACAATACCATGTCTTTTAATTGAATATATTTGGGAAATCCATCCAACCATTTTCTAACCACTTTCTGCACTGTAAATATGCACCTCTGTGAAGTTACAGAAATACCTTGTTTCAGATTAGTGAATATAACTTAGTTACCATTAATAATTTCCATTTTTGTTCAAAACAACTTATTGGACATACAAGTGTCAAATAATTATAATTATATACATATTCATTATTCATTTTATAAATCTTCAATTACTGTCATTCATTAATGCAACAATTTCAGATGGAAGTGTAAGTGGCCAAGTAACAAAACCAAAGAAACAGCAGTCCTTGAGGACAAGAAATAAGCAACGATAAGTAAAAAAAAACAGTACAGTACATGTCCAAGAGAAAACCTTCTTCAGCTCTGGCAATGGTGACTACATGCTCTAACAGAGTAGCATCACTACCACTCATTGTAATATTGTAAAGAAAACAAAACAAATTGACCAAGATCAGTATCCCCCATGAATGATCTGTGTTAGAAATCAAAGACACTAACAGGTGGTTTTCATTGCCTGGATCTTAACAATAAAATAGGACACTGCTATAGGTGTGTCAAATGACAGATCTCAATCTGACATTAATTATCAGCTTGTCGTGTTTCTAAAACATTTAAGCGTTCCATACTTCTGGACTGAGGTAACTTACCTGCCGGACAAGGGCTATCCCTTCAATGGCCTCCTGTTCCTGTTGAGCAATGGTCACCCCCAGCACCAGGGTATGGATGCCACAGGAAACAGCAGTGATGAGGACAATGGGCATGAGGCGCAGGGGCAGTGTGAGGAAGAAGGAGAAGACAAAGAAGGCCTGCCAGCCAACAGTGTCACTGGCCTGGTGGTAGTGAGCAAAGTTCAGGCCCAAGTAGGAGAATATCTGTGCAGCAATCAGGACCCAGAGAGCATAGGGGACAACTTTGCGTGATATACGATCAGGAAGCAGCCCATATTTGCACAGCACATAGAGCAGGATGTGGGCAGCCAGTCCGATGATAGCCACCAAAGTGGAGGCCAGCTTGTCACTGGTGTAGACCACTGTGCACATCACAATGACATAGCAGTCAAAAAGCGCAGCAAACACCACCAGCACCAGCAAGGTTTCATGACGCTGTCGGCGGAAGTAGGTCTGGTAAAGGTTCTCGAGGGACTCTGGAGCAAAGGTGAGTCTCATGAATCGAGGCAGGCACAGGCAGCAGCCAGAGTTGCGGACTGTCACCTCGTGTGTTCGGCCTACTCCATGCTCAGGGTCTGAAGGTAGGCTCACTGAGTAATCTGCAGAATATTCTGCAGAATACTCAGGTTCTGAGAATGCCCGGTTGCGTGGCATTTTGGAACCTAACTGAACCTGGCTTTTTCTAAAAAAAACACTTCCTAGTGATATTCAGTTATTCTTGAAACATCCATTTTGTTTTTCAAACCTATGCTTACAAAGCACATTTACTTTTTTTTGTTGTTTTCTTGCATCCAGTGCAAAACAAAATAAGCTTTTGCTTCAAAGATAATTTAACCTTCAGTTTAACAGCAGCAAATCATGTTAACAATATGCAGTTATTTAATTACACTTTCTTACATTTCATGCAGGTATCCACATTAAAATCAATGTACACTAATCAAACCGCTTTTCTTCATATCAAAACTATTTCAGGTTAGACGTTTAACGTCAGTTTAACTTTTCTATTAATATCTATCGAAAAATAAGATACCTTTTTAAACAGGATATTCCCACAATCACAAAAAAATGTCTCTGTGATTGATGAAAATCTTTGTATTTTACACATTAGTACAAATTTACAGTGCTTTGTTTCCTCTCTACTGTATCCGTAGTCTTCATTCGAAAAAACAGTCTAAGAAAACCTGCGTAGAAAACGCAACATAGATTTTATATTTGAGATCAATTATTTCCTCCTTTAGTTCTATTTTTCAATGAGCAAGATAATCCATTCTTCTTAAAATGATCGCTTCTGTGAGGTACATCCGCCAGCTACAGATCAGATTGATGTGTAATGACTTAAAATATTAGGTATTTTGACATATCCCCCACGAAGTCATTTTCTGAAGCCGCAGAGGTTGCATTGGTTTCCATGGCAAAGTCTTGCAATACAGTAACATGGAAGTAATGCATCCATACCTGTTCCAGAAGATAACGTAAAGAAACGATCAGACAGAAACGAGGCGTTTATTCGTCAGTGTAATACGAAATTCCATTTGAACGAGACATAAAAAATAGAAGTATTGATCCTTCGGTATACGTAGTTTTGTTTGTGCACAAATGTCCCCATGAGAAACCGACTGTTGGGTTCCAGTCTCTTCCTTGCGAAGCATCACCACTTTCTCCCAGTCCAATTAATCTCACTCAGTTTGAGTACAAAACCACAGAAATTATGACGATTTCCAATAATTAATTTTAAAGGCAAAGTAAGCACTGCTTGTCCCATAAATGGTGTATTCATATATACACTCGAAGACTTACATTGGAGTTATGGTTAGAATTATTAGCTGCTGTTTAACTATAAACAGCACTTCTCGTTTAAAAGATGCATTTAATCAGGTAGACGCATGCGGCCCTTAAATTCTCATTTGAAGGTTAAAAATACTTGCATAAAACAAAGCTTCCTTGATAGTATCCAAAAGAACCTTCAAATTAACAGTCTGTAATACTGGATTTAAGAAAGTGATTTCCCCAGCATCCCTTTCTTCTTTTTCTATTAAGTGTTACAAACACGGCGTGAGCTCATACCAGGTACAGTATGTCAAGAAGAACCAGAAAACATAGATAAGGATGCAAATCGGCAATTTGTATCCGCCTGCTAGGGACCGAGAAAACACCTTATCTCCTCAATTCTCCCCTTCGTTTCATTTGCTGTCAGCTGCCCCCTCGCTTCCATGTACGTTTTTTAAACCTTCGAATTAACCAAGCTGTTTGCATCCTCCCGATTCAAGACATGAAATGCATATTTTTGCCTCCCCCTTTTCCTCCTTCTTCAGCGGAAAACACGTAATAACGTTCCCTCTTTACTTTCTCCCAGTCCAGCCTAGTTCTCGCTCCCTCCCTCTGCTACAGAGATACAGCGGCAGTGATACTCTCGTAACATTCAACACACGCAGAAGCGACAGTCAAAAAATACACAGCATAACAGCCACTGAAGTCGGTCCACATGCGTCACAAGATTTTTAGAACTATTTTTTTTCTCCGAGACTTATAGCTTTAATGGTCGACGCTTAGAAGTCCCATCCCCGTTACTACTCGTTTGATTTTTCGGAGTGTGTTTACACAGCGTGTTTCCGTTTGTTCATTCCCTGTTGTCTGCTATGATCGTATTTCTTCTACAGTGCAAAGGAGAACTGTAACCCTGTAGGCGGCAGCAACAAAACGTTACACCAGAAACCAATACCCAGTCAAGAGCCAAGGTAGCTGGCTACATATTTATAGATTTATTTGAATGAATAACTGACCAGGTGACAAGGTGCCTCGCAGCTTCTGGACCTTGGTTGCTACAGTATCTGCATGAAGTTTGTATATTATCCTTGTGTTTGCATGGGTTTCCCCTGGATGCTTCCACAGAAAATACACTTGTAGGTTAATTGCCTTTTGGGTGTGAGTGTTTGTATTTGTGTCCGTGTATCCTGTGATGGACTGGTGTGCTGTTCAAGGTATATTCCACCTTGTGCCCTTTACTTGCCAAAATTGGCTCCAGTTCCCTCACGCCCCTTAATTGGCAGAAGCAGTTAGAAAATGGAGGGATGGAATACTGTAACTGACCAAGGTTTAGTATAGTTATAAAGTCCTGCTTTCACAGTTTTTGTTGTTAATTCAAGTACTGTTTTGGTCACTCATACAGTATATTCACTTCCTAACGTTCAGTACATTATAATGTATATATTTATAATATCTCTATATATCTGCTTGTCTTCAATCTCTGTCAGCCACATTCATCTTTACTTTCAAATGCCTTAAAGTAGTATTTTCTTATTTTTCATTGGGTAACTTTCTTCATAGTAAAACAAAATATCTCAAAAGGATGCAATTTAAATGTATACAGAGTATAAAAGACCTTTGGAATTTTTAAAACTATTGTGTATTTAATTATGCTGAGAGCATTGGATTGTAAATGGTCCAACATCAGCTAGGCTAGATAAGTGCTAATGGAGACAGTATTGAATATTCCACTGTACTGTGTAATGAACATCAAATCAATGTCTCGAGTATCTGACCTTTACAAAGCAAAGTGTAAATGAAAATTGTCATCCTCTTGAGCAAAGATTTTTCACTTTCATTAACCAAAGAGAATGTAAACATATTTTTTTAACATGGTCAAAATATAGAAGGTTGTATAGCTCATGTGATGTTAAATGTAATCAACCTCTGAGTTGAAAAATAATTCGTTTTATAGAATTTAAAACAGTACAAGATTTTATTAAATTATAGTATATTGTGAGGAGTTACCGTCTCAAAGTTGTTTGTTACTGGTATTGATTATGCTCTGGACACCATCTGTGGAGAGTGTGTGTTTTACCAGATGTTTTTTTTTTAAGTCAAAAGACATGACTTCTTGGTTAAATGTCATCTCTGAATTGTCTCCCATATGTTTTTGTGCTTGTACAGTATGCACACTCTGCAATACAGGTGTGTTCCATTCAGAATGTATCCTGCCTTGCAAGCATTGTCTGCTGGGATAGACTGCCACTCACGACAACCCTGTATTGGACTAAGGTGTTTTTCAAAATGGCTGAATGGAAGTTATGTCAAGAGCAGCAGCTGAAAATGCGGGGGATTAAAATTCAAAACAAGGAACGTCCTTGTAAAAGCCTTTTAAACTCAAAACAAAGAACACGGTCCTGTAATGCCACAGGTCACAGATGCACAAACTGGAGTGAAACAGGCATTTTTACTGTATAATGTATTCTGCTGCACACATCCATGTGAATTTCCCTACTCCGAGATCCTTTGTACCACTATTCTGACCTTTACAATGATACAAAAATGCAAGATTATACAAAAAACATCAGAACATTAATGCAATCAATAGGATGTAGGATGCAGGGGTTACCATTGCTGCATTGCAGCACTAGAGCCCCGGATTCAATTCCAGATATGCAGAGTTTGTATGTTGTCCATATGTCAATTTTTCTCCTGTTGCTCAGGTTTCCTCCCACTGTCCACATATATTCTGATAGGTTATTTGACTTCTGGGAAAATTGGCCCTAGACGAGTATGTGTGTCTGTTTGTGCTCTGTGATGGACTGGTTTCCTGTTGAGGGCTGTTTCCTGCCTTACAACCATTGTTTGCCAGAATAGGTACCCACTCCCCTGCAACAGTGAATTAAATGAAGTATTTAGAAAATAGATGGATGGTTAGTTTTAAAAGACACTGGAAACCTACTAGATTTAGAACCTCAGGGACTGGAGTAAAAACCCTTTGATCGGACCTTTTAATCTGTTTCTGCACTCATGTTACTTCAACAAATACACTGGTGCATGTATACTGTTGCCAAGAAATTTAACAAACAGAGCTCCCCCTATCTTACTCATTAAGTGGTTGTACATTTATTTTTCTCTTGACGCTCTTAACATGTTACCAATTAATGACAACCATTGAATCACTCTTTGTTCAGCAGGGAGTAAATCACATACCCAAATGAAGAGATTTCTTAAGATACCAAAGCAGTTCACCAATCCTGTCCAACTTTTAAAAAGATTTTTGGTGATTACCTACATTCACATAAGCAATATACTGTACTTTAAAGACAGTAGAAATGCTGTTGTTAGAAAAGCATAGTTCTTCAAATAATCGTGCATAACTTACATGATTTGCACTCAAAAGCCTTTGAAAAAACATAACACAGAGGTTGCATGCATTTATGTATACTGTTGTATTACATCACCAATATAATTAACATAATAATGAAATCTAAACTAACTTAGACTTTGAGGCATTTATAGGTGTCTGATTTATTATAGGGATACCTTAATTTAAACAATAGGTGACCCAGGTCTGGTCTTTGATGGCTGCTGTCCTGTAGGTCTTACAAGTCTCTTTCAATGTCCATATTATTAAGAAGAAATTGTTGTCACCGCAACTGGGTTATACTCTAGCACAGTGGTTCGTAACTCTAGGACTTGAGGAACAATTTCTGCTAGTTTTCATGCCAGCTAACCTACTGTATATATAGCCACTGCTAGTTGATGACTTTACTGATCCGGTTGCTTGATTATAATTTTTTTAACTTGTCAGTTAAAAAATTGTCACTTGACCTCTCAGCCCTGAGTGTCAATATATCCTTCTTGAAGTGTACTGTTTTCAACAACTTCTGCATACAGAATGATATGTTGTCTTGCTTCAAATTGCTTGTCTTATTTCTGATTAAATTACTTTTATTAGTTAATTAATAATGATCAGATACAGAAGAAAATGACAGTATCAGACACCCTGCAGTGGGTTTATTTTCCTTTTGCAAAGGTCCAGTTGGTTATATTTCAAGTAACACATAAATGTGGGCAGTTCTGAAACTTAGAGATTGGTACATTTAACTTTTTAAGAGCTCAAAGTAAATGTATAAATATGACCCAGACAGAAAACTGAAATCAAGTATCCTGTGATTAAAAAATAAACTGTAGCAAAATCCAGAAGACAGAGTTGTCCTCCAGGTTTGGGAATAAATGTTCTGGCATAAGGAAGACTTTGTGTACTTTGCATTTTATTTCCAGCAGAGATTCTCAAAATCTTCCAAAAAAGTTTAACAGCCGCAGCCACTTTGGAAACAGACTAGTAATACAGAAAGATAAACCTTCACCTAGTTTTGGAGGAATAACTACACTTTTTATGCAATCCTAACTAACTTATAGGAAACTATTCCACCCTCCCAAATTCGTGCCCCACCCTAGGAAAAACAAAACACACTCTGTCAGCAACTTCCCTTAAACTCAACATTCTCATTTAAAACGTTTCTAGTGTTCTTCACACTATCTAAACCAGTACACCAGTACAACAATTTGGTCTCTTAGCTACCATTTCCCACGCTTACATATACACTGAACCCAGATCTTAATTAATAGGACCTGTGCTCAAGTAACCCAGGAAATCTTGTAATTGACCCTAATTATCCTGTGACCAGTTGGGTAAGGTGGCTCCAGTCTCAGAGTCCTATAGCATACAGTACATCTGAGGAAAGTTACATAGTAAAAGACAATATTATATCTTTGATATACCCATAATTGATGGCCTTTACCATGTCTTTACCACATATCCAATCACATTGTCTATGTACCTGTCACAGATGTCGGAAAGGACAAACCGCGGAATGGCAGGAGAGCGAAAATACCCTATGCGTAGCGGCGAGATGGGGGTTAGCCCGGGCTCAGCTGTTCAGGAAATGCCGTATAGAAACCTATGCTCTCAGGTAGGAAGGACAGCAAAGCACCGGAAACCAGAGACAGGACAGAGAAGGAGCGCCCTCTGGCTACAGAGGGCATGACGTACCCAAATACATAATCTTTTAGGCCTTCAGTGGAGAACAAAATAATTGGGTTACTTTGTATCTCTTTGATTGCAGACTTGTTGGCACTGTGTTGGAACTATCTACAGTATATCACTATTTCTTCTCCTAGAACATTATATAATTTAGATGGAACTTTTGACCATTAAAATCCATGGCGCCAGTTGTCTAAGCACAGTCAAAGACATGTTGCATGTGGGTTCAGCTGTAGCTTCGTAGCTGAATTTTATGGGTCATTAAGAAGAAACATGAAGGGGCATAGTTCTGATCATTGATTAGTGGGGGTCTTTGTGTGGGAATGGGAAAATGTCATTTTCTTCTTTTTTTTCCTGTTGTGTTTTTTTAATTAAATAAAATGATTTCAAAAGTAAAAGATCAGTATTCCTTTCATGGTAATTAAAACGAATAAAGCAATTAACAATTCAATACATACAGTATATTTTAAGGAACAGATGAGTGTTAACAGATTTTTGATTCTCCAGTCCATGAAACTATAACTCCATTCCAAAGATGGATTTTAAATGAAAATGTAATTTTATTTTCAATGCTTATCTTACATCTTATATTTCTATATATTAATAGTGGTAGTATACTATACCAACATGTTTCATCTCCTGTGTTTGGCAAGGCATTGCTGGCTTGAGCGCTGGGGCCCCAGTTTCAAATTCAGACCTTTCATCTCTGTGGAGTTTGTATGTTCTCCCCGTGTTCACACAGATATCCTCCAGGTGCTCTGGTTTCCTTCCACAGTCCAAAGACATGCTGGAATGTTAATTGGCATCAGTGATAACTGGACCTATGTGTGAGTGTGTGCGTACCTGTGTTTGTGTCTGTGTGTCTGTCC